TTGCTGCAATGTATGATTGGCCCCTCTATCAGCTTGATATCAAGAACGCCTTCTTGCATGGTGATCTGCTCGAGGAGGTCTATATGGAGCAACCACAGAGGTTTGTTGCTCAGGGAGAGGATGGTAAGGTGTGCCAACTACTGAAGGCCATTTATGGGCTTAAACAGTCTCCTCGAAAATGGTTTGGCAGATTTGGTGAGGTGGTAAAGAAGCATGGTATGAAATAGTGCTAAGTTGACCATTCAATCTTCAGTCATGACTCTCAGACAAGGAAGATCCTATTGGTGGTGTATGTAAATGATATTGTCATTACCGGAAATGATAAAATGGGCATTGAAAGGTTGAAGACTTTTCTACAGGAATATTTTCAGACAAAGGACCTTGGTAAATTGAAGTATTTCTTGGGGAYAGRAGTAGCAARGTCTAAGCATGGTATTAACTTGTGTCAGAGGAAATATGTTCTTGATTTGCTTGAAAAAACAGGTTTGTTAGGTGCTAAACCAGCTGAAACACCTATGGAAACAAACACTAAGTTGAGCAGTGATATGAGTGAAGTGAACTACTTAACCATCACTCGGCCAAACATTTCATTCGCAGTTAGTGTGGTAAGTCAATTCATGCAGAAACCTTTGGTTCCACATTGGGATGTGGTTCTAAGGATTGTGAGGTATTTAAAGGGGGCTCCTGGTCGTGGTTTGATATACAGAAGTGGTGGAAAACTTGAAATAGAAGGATATACTGATACTGATTGGACCGGTTCTGTATCTGATAGGAGATCTATCACAGGCTATTGCACTTTTTTGGGGGTAATCCAGTGACATGGAAAAGCAAGAAGCAGACAGTTGTGGCAAGAAGTAGTGCAGAGGCAGAATATAGAGCTATGGCACATACTRCTTGTGAATTAGTGTGGCTAAGGAACCTTCTACAGGAGATGGGATACACTGTTGATACTTCAATGAATCTCTATTGTGACAATCAGGCTGCATTTCATATTTCCTCTAATCCGGTGTTTCATGAGAGACCCAAGCACATAGAGGTTGACTGTCACTTTGTTAGAGAGAAGGTGTTGAGTGGAGTGATAGACACTACATATGTCAACACAGGGAACCAGTGGGCAGATTTGTTTACTAAAGGATTAAGTCGGGGTAGAGTGGATTACATACGTAACAAGCTGGGATTATATGATATATACTATCCAGCTTGAGGGGGAGTGTTAGTGTCGAGTATGTAGGGGTATTTCTGTCTTTGTGCTTATGTTTGGGTGCTGATGTGTAAGTTTATGTTAGATCTAATGTCCCTAACTTAAGTAGGGGCACATGTGACTTTTCCACAATATTTTNTTTGATTTTCTTGTGCTTATAGGTTCATTATAACAAATAATGGATCTAGACATTCTGTAGCTGGTCTGAGGTAAGACACATGCCACTTAATATGGCCAAAAAGTTAAACTGTATAATTCTTTTATAACTAGAATATCTCTCTTGGTGCAGTATATATTCTTAAGTTCCAATTAATTTTGAAATGTAAAAGGAGAATATCTCTCTTGGGGAAGACTGTTATGTTTTGATACATTTACCTTGAATTTAATGTTTCAGTAGATAATTTACTGTATTGTAGGTTACAGGTATGATATTTAGAATAAAAAGGTCATTACCCAGTGTTGGTCCAACTATCTTGGGTCTTGGGAGGGGAAGACTGGATTCAGTCCTAACCTTTGGCATTTTTTGCACAAAATGGCCGCTGTCAGACTCAAACCTGTTTTCTCACACTAGCCAACAAAAGGGGAATTGCAACAGCAACTCCAAAATATATTACTATACTTGGTAATAGGTGACTGGCCTCTCAACAACAAGAAATCTGGGATGAGTCCAATGTAATCCTAGTAGGGATCATATTATAAAGCTGAAGTTTGATGGTCGCTGTATTGGTAATCCCTTCAGAAATAGGTGGACAGTTTAGAGATGCACATGGCATCATAGTAGTGCTATTTTCAGGACCAGCTGGCCACAAGCACATGACTCAATAAGTGAGGTTTCAGCAGCATTGCAAGGATTGAAAGTGTAAAAGTTATTAAACAGTACAGGTATCCCCAAATTTCATTAAAGCAAGAATGGCAGGGGTAGAACCCCAAAGCTTACAGAAGAGGGATTCTATCACTATAAAGTTCTTCCAGAAATACACCCTATTTGGCTAAACCATCTGCTATGTGATTTAGATCCCTAGGAATCCAAGTTAGTCTTGCATTTAGGTAGAAAGGACATCTTTTAGTTTAAAAAATTTAGTTAACACAATCAGTGGTCCAATAAAGAGCTGTTCTGCAGTCACTTGGCTTCCTTTGGGCATTTAGAGGTTTAGGCCTATGGTAAATATTACATAGGCAGAGCCTGGGTGGGTTAGGACTTAGGCCCCTATCCCACCCTACTAACTTCTGCACCTGCTGGGGGCTGGAAGGATGTCTTTGGTATTACTGCTGAAGATGGAGTCAAATACTAAAAATTTGACTATAAATATCTAATAATCCTTAATAATCTTACAGGTTGAAGCTTTTTTTGGAAAAATGAGATATATAATCTGTATTACATCAGGTTATGCAAGGTCATCCTATGTTCAATTTATTTGTATTATATTCTTGGCTCATAAGAAACATACTGGTTCCATACTGATTACAGTGATGAGTGGTAGGATTTGATTAAGGTGAGATCATTCTCTTTTTCCAAACAAGAATTTTATTATATAAACTTTGACGCAGACTAGCAATCTTTTAGCTTTATTTCCTTATGGCTATCTCTTTCCCTTGGTGACTAGGACTGTTGTTCCCATGCTAATGGTGCAGCAAGGTCAGCCTAGCTTTCTGTTATTTGTCAAATGAGGGTTCAAAGTATTAGGTTTAGGGTTGGAGTGGGGACTGCTCGGCCCTGGTTCAGTGATCCTCTGCTTCACAGAATTGTTGTGATCCATGATCCATAAATTCCATATCCATCCTACACTACACACAAGAAAAAACCAACACAACTACCTGGAACCTTCTCACTGCTTCTCATTCACTGTCTTTATTATCCACAAAATATGTATTTATAATTAAATAAACTACACTTTGACAACCATACAACCAAGATATCAATTGGGTGGCCCCCTACATACTAACTAAGCCATGGATGCATGGATAAAAACCTAATCCTAATCCTCAAACAGAGCCAAGCAGGATAGTATGCAGGGTCTCTCCCTTCAGTTGGCGAAGCTTAACAGAGACCTCAATTCAAATGCAACCCACCATCTGGGTGCCTTTATCAAATGCCTCAATCGGACCATCGGATTTATACTTCGATAACAACAAAGCAATAAGGAAAGTAACTCGATAATTTATACTTAAAAAAAAAACAGCAAAGCTATAAGAAAAATAACAGCAACAATTTGTACTTAAAAAATGTATAAATTCCATAATAATTCGAACACACAAATACCAATAAGGAAAATAATGAAGAGACAAATTGTTCAAAACTTCAAATACCTTAACGATGCTGCTTTGTTTTGATGCTTACAGGGATGATATTGGTGGTCAACCTAAAAGGGGAAAACAGAGTAAGAAGATGAAGAAGAAGAAGAAGAAGAAGAAGAAGAAGACAAAGAGACAGAAAGAGAGAGAGAGAGAGAGAATTTACCTTGGTTTGAGCTCTTTGGATCGAACTTAGCTTTAGGACTTCAACAGATCGAGCTCACCGTTACCCTCGATACCTCAGCACAGAGAGAGGGACGAGAGTTTACCTTGTACAAGAGAGAGAGAGAGAGAGAGAGAGAGACGAGGGTTCAGTGAGTTCAAGTCGAGAACTCGAACGAAAAAAAAAAAAATCGGTAGGATGGGGCATGAAAAGTTTTCGTGCCCCAAATTTCATTCTGGGAAGAATGAATTCTGCAGCAAGAAATGAATATCCAAACACCTATATCTCATTCATTCTTGCTCATTCTTTTCCAGAATCGGCAAGAATTAAAAGAATGAAGCCACTGGCAGCGAACCAAACATGGCCTAATTTTCCCCTTCTACCAAACCAATGTTGGTCCAGCCATCCAAGTATTGATGTAAGTTTTGCCCACTGGGTACTCGGCCTCCCCAACATGATGGGGTCAGGGATGAGGATTAATAAGGATCCCTGGCGGGGGAAGGGGTTGGAGATGGGGAGTGAAGTTCCCACCTCAACCTCGAGATTATATATTTCAAAAAATACTCTTAATTAAAAAATTTCAGGGATTCGGGTCCATACAGAAACCTGTCTCTATCGGAGATCGGAGATGGAGGATAACTTTGATCCCAGTGAGGACCGGAGTTAGGGAGGGGGGTTTGTTTCAAAATAGAGGTCTATGATCCCCACCCTAAATCTGCCCCGTTGCCATTCCTAGCTTCCTACATCCAAGCTCTTAGAAAAAACCCAACGTTGGGCATTTTTTACTCGATGTGGCCACTCTCAAGACTCAAGACCATCTTCCTATGCTCGTCGGTCCAAGATTATATTGCACCCTGCAATGCCCTTACGCTCCCCTTGAAAATCTGCAAATAAAATTAGCCATCTAGGTCTAAGCTGCCATAGGGCCTGCCTACCACTGCTCCTTTTTAGCTTTGATTAGTTTTCCTGGAATTTCCCTCCTAAGAGTCTTTCTTCAAGTATGAAACTGACGTCCTGACACTTATGGAATTCATGGTCGAAAGGTTTGGCTGAATTTGTTGCTTGAATTTGAAAGATCCAGTTACCAACAGGCACACATCATGCATCAACCAGGAAAAGACAGAGACCAGAGAATTGTGGAGTTTGTGTTGAACATGTGTTAAAGCGTTTTCCACGTGCAAATAAGAAGACACCAGCTGAACCCGCCAAATTTTTGGTACATTGGAGAGAGTCCGGATCTGGTAAGCACACCGAGTACACTTGGCCCACAAATATATTTAAATCATTGCATGAATGACCTACAAATTGATTGTATACTTACTGTGAATTTGTGCCTATCAGATCTGGACTCCATTGAAGAATATAATTAAACAAATTCATGATACATCCAGGAGCTTTCTGGTTTGTTAGATGCTGCACAAAAGGAAATGGCTTTGGCAAAGGAAAGTAAGTATTACTTACACACCTATTATGGTAAAGAATATTATTTTTCTCAACTAAGATATCGATTCAGAACTGATAGTTGTCCAGAGTCTCCATTCAACAAGAAAACTTCAAGAGGAATATAAGATGATGGAGATGTCAATGATGATCCAAACCTATGAGTAGGTTGGAGAATTTTGCTCCCTTTAGCACATTGAATGGTTCGAAGACGAGGTCCAGTTCGCATCTGCCAAACCTGCATGAAGCCATGAACACCACATTTAACATTCATATAAACAAGCAACCATATAAACAAGCACCCATAATAGCTATTTAAGCAAAGAACGGACCCTAGAACAGAGGAAAGTTCAAAGCAAAAATTAGGTATGTACAATTAGTTTATTTATATTTATAAAGACAGAAACAAGCACAGGGAAAAATGTTGCACCATCCATGCTGCAAGTAACGGTTGAAGCATTGAACTAATAATCTTGAGAAGGTCTTGGTCAAGCAGGTGGACAGCACAAGCAAATAAAATGGAGAATAGGCCAAGTACAAGCATTCATGAAATAAGTGCAGAATATGAAGGAAAAGAAGAATGCGAAACATAACAAATGCAGTTAACAAGAATGCCATATTACTTGCAGCCTTAGTTCTCTGTGTCAAAACATGCCAAATTCCTTGATTTTAGTGATGTTAGAAAGTTAATGTAAAATCAAAGTAATAAGAAATAATTTAAGCACTCGTTATTTAACAACAGATATGGCATTGAACAGAAGAGAATGGTGAAACAGGATTAATGTAGCCAACCCCATTAAGCGAGGTAAGGTTTAAATGATGATGATGATAAAGTTTATGCAATACAAGGATTCATCATACTAACAGGGCAATGAATCCTTCCACGTATGGAGTGATGATGATGATGATGACGATGATGAGAAAGTTTATGTAATACAAGGATCCATCATACTAACAGGGCTCTGAATCCTTCCGTATGGAGTGATGATGATGATGATGATGATGAAAGAGTTAAAAAAAGAGTCATTTTGTTTGGAATAATTCTAAAAGCTTTTTTTTTCTTTTCATTTTTTTGGTTTTAGAGTGCTCTGAATCCTTCCATGTATGGAGTAATGCATGGTTTTAATTATGTCAATATTTAGTTAAATAAAATTCACAAAATTAAAAGTAATCAAAAAATCTTCGTCATTTCTGGGAAACATAGAATTGTCTCATTTTGCAGTAAGATTAGAATTACCATCAACATTTTAACCAATTGTGGTAGTCTAAATCAAGAAAACATTTGCAACGATAACAAATAAATATACACAAAAAGACGAGTATAAGAAAATTGCACCTCAATAATTCCTTTTCGAGGTGCATGAATAGCTAGGCAGAGGCAATAATCATTCTTTGTGTGTTCATAATAAGCCGAGGTTGATGATGATGCTGTATCCCTATTAACTAGCATCTCCATGAAAAGGCAGAAAGCATCACGATAACCCTGATAAAGAGATGAAGTTCAGTGTCAAGAAGAAAAGGAATTAAATGCATGGATATTCAACTCAATTAGTCTGTGAGAAAACCTTCCAAAGTCGCACAACCACAAGTGCCTGAGTGTCAAGTAGCAAAATACGACCAAGTGAATCAGTAATAGCAGCCAATGTGCCACTAGGTGATAGAGTGAGTTTCTCTCCTTTTCTTGGCTTATCCTTCAAGCATGTTAAAGGAGATGCTGCCACAAAATCATTATCAGAAGAATAAATTCAGTGAACTAAAAATATTGACCTTTAAGCCACAATATCTACCAATTTGAGCAAGCATAGGTTAAATCATATTACAAGTAATAAAAGAAAGAATCAAAAGGGTGTATACCATCACACATTCTATTATGTATCCCTATAAATCAATGCATTCAAAATCAGATTTACATGTCCCCTAGTAAGGTGGAAACCTAATAAAGCACACTTCCCTTACTATACCCCTATCCAGATCATTGGCTGATCTTGGCACCTAGTGGAATGAGAAGTTCTATCTAGATGCCAATGCTCTAATCTCTCTGATGTGAGCCACAACGTCCAAGGGTCATCAGATCCACTCATTCATTGAATAACTTATCTCTGATTCACCCTCTACTACTACATCAAAAGGTTCAAAACAAAAGAAAAACAATTCAACTCTGTTAGTGTCGAGTATGTAGAAGTATTTCTGTCTTTGTGCTTATGTTTAGGTGCTGATGTGTAAGTTTATGTTAGATCTAATGTCCCTAACTTAAGTAGGGGCACATGTGACTTTTCCACAATATTTTAGTAATATAAAACAAATCTGGCCGAATGKGAGRGTTGACTTTTCTCTCATTCGAACCAGACCTTTTCCTCCTTGTCTTCTCTTCTACTCTTCTCCTTTCTCTCTTTCTCTCTCTCTCTTCTCTCTTTTCCTTAACTGTTATCAGTCTAACAGGCAGACCGAACTCTAATAAACTCTTACTAAAAGCCCTAGAAACTCTGCTCTGAAAAATTGAAATTGGCCAACACTTGTGGAGGGAGAGATAAGCTCTTTTTAATGACTTTCTTTCTTTTTCCCACTATTTAGAATGCTTTTGAGGTTGTGTTGTATGTTTCAATCATAATGTCCTAGATCATATCAATAACAGGATTGCCCTAGTTCATTTGTGTCCACGGAACGAGATTAGTTATCATAGGTAAATTGGAATTTGGAAGATGCAGTTGCTGTTTGGAGCATACTGCATACCTATGGTGGTTTCTTCTATATAGGAATAGCTTTTGTGCAAGAAACATTAAAGCTAAATATCACACAATCTCAGGGTGATGAAGGGATAAATCTAGAAATCTAATACCAATTCCTGATGAACATACCTATAGTGGTTTCTTCTATATAGAAACAACTTTTGTGCAAGAAACTCTAAAGCTAAATACCACACAACCTCAGGGTAATGAAGGGCTAATCTAGAAATCTAATACTAATTCCTAATGAACAAGCCCATTGATATCCCTGCAAAGTCATTTATGGTAGTAATCCAATGTGCTCTTCTGATGGTAACCAACTCAATGACCAACTGGAGAATGAGGGTGATTGTATAACATCATTTTTTTTCCATGCAAAAGTTCTTTAAGGTAGAACCTAACACACAAAAGACAACCTCTTATGATGTTACTCCAACACATTCCTATCCGTCTACCATTTTCTGCACAAGATAAAGTCGAGTTAAAATCAGCCCCCCACAATGTCCCACAGTACATCCCCGCCATGTATTGGGAACATCTCCCAATGATGATACCAGGAATGATGATGTCATCATCGGGAGGTGTTCCCAATACACGGCAGAGATGTGGTGTGGGACGTTGTGGGGGGCTGATTCGGTCTCAATAAAGTCTGTCTCTGAAGGCCCATGTTGTCAGAGCCAGATTGGACATAAAACTGTTTTGGCTGCTGGTTTACAGGTAGAATGGTCTGACTGCCCAGTTGAACTTATTGACACACTCAAATAAAAATTGTGAAAAATAAAATTTATTAAAATATTAAATGGCTCCATATTATCTTTTAAAGCTATTTCACATTGAAATAAGGTAGAAAGAATATATATTGTAAAACCTATTAATACATGTATTTGGAGTAACTTTGACCAAGTCAACATTCTAAGAACCATTTTGGCTGCTTTTCCTGGCCCAAATGGTCCATCTATTAGTCTGATACAAGTATGACAACAGTGCTGAAAGCCAAGCACCCATTCTCTGAACCATAGGACATATCTGAATATAGCTACTACATTTGTCAGTTGTCAGTTGTCAGTTGTCAGAATATTAATTCACATCACAGAGTTCAAATCTAAGTCAACAGAAATCATTTTTTTAAATGACAAAAGCATGGAGAATGAAGTAGAATAATAGGATAGGGAAGAACTGAAATAGAGTAGCAGAAGATTTGCAAACCTTTCTACAGATTGAATTTGTAAGCCAGTTCTTAAGAGTCAAAGATTGCACTTACCTCTCAATTAGGTATTTCATGGACATCTAGTTCATTGATTATTGTGAAGGAAGCATTATATAATAGTAAATTTGTAAACTGACTTCACCTCCAGCAAAGGGCTGAGGGTGCACTTCAGATTTCGTTGTTGAAATGCATATTTGAGAGGTTAATGCAATCTTTGACTCTTAATAGTTGACTTACAATGATATAAATGTTAAGTTTTGCAAATCTGCTGCTAATTCATTGATAGTAGCAAGATTTGCAGATGAGATAATGGTAAATTTGTAAATTGACTTCACCTCTAGCAAATGGCTGAGGCTGCACTTCAGAATTTGTTGTTGAAGTTTGGTCACTCTGCCAAATCATTTTAGAGAAAGAAACAATTGTGGAAAATGTAGTAGGCATGACTTTCGACAGAAAAGCTCCAAGTATAGACCTGCTTCTGTCTTCGGACAGCCTGTAATCAAATAAAATGCAAGTTAAAATTCAAAGTAAATCAATTTAGTACTAATAGATGAAAGCGAAAGTTTCAAAAGTAAAAGTAGAAAAAAGACCAAATACACACTGCAAATTGTGCCACACTAACCTGTAAGCCGAAATTACAGCATCATCTCCAATAGTAACTGCACAGTAGTAGCGTTGACTTGACTGCCCAACAATAAAAGCAGCTGAATTCAAAACCAGAATGCTTCAGAAAGTTTTCATTAGAAACATTTAATTAGCAGCAACTGCACTAGATAATATACTACAGGGTTGTCATGATAAAGCACAGTGTAGAAAACTAATGAATGTTTATATTCATTGAGATACATTGACATACTCATGGCAGTCAATAGAAGTACAGGGTTGTCATGCTAAAGCACAGTGTAGAAAATTAATGAATGATTAGTTTCATTTAAAAACATTGACAAAGTGGTAAAATAGAAGCTTAGCAATATAAACATGCCTTGTCTTTTCAATGGCCATATGCACTATATATATATATATATATATATATATATATATATATATATTTCACCTGAAGTTCCATCAGTGGAGGCAGCATTATCCCAGTGATTGCTGCATCAACAGTTGAGCCATACTTGCTAACATTCCATAGCTGATATGGTACTCTCCCATATGAATTTCTAAGGTCCTCTGTCTCACTCTTTTTCCATCTCTGATCCCGAAATTGTGACCTTGCTTCTTGAAACCATCGCTGCAGCAATTTCTACAAGTGCATGGACCATGTTAGTTTTGCAGTTCCACATAGCTCCCAGAAAATCACTAGTAACTAATACAAAGAAGATAGAGAATTGAATGGAACCCTGTCCTCACCTTTTTTTTTCTTCTGTTTCCCTTCTTAGGTTGGGGTGGGAAGACTAAGCTTAATGATTTTCTTCAAAAGTAATTCCCAAATCCTAAGTAATGATATTTTCTTCCTCTAAAAGATTTAGTGAATTAATTATGGTGCCTATTAGCAACCACAATGAAACTAATTATCAAGGATGCAGTTAATGATATTTTATAGAACTTCCTCAGTACAAACGACAGGAAACATAGCATACCCGAATTTCTGATCCATCAAAACGTGCTATTACATCTGGCATAACAATACAAACCTCCTCTGAGGATGTTTCTTGTGTAAGACCACTCTTGGTTCCATGAACTCGTAGCTTTCGTATACATTCAGGATATATCATCTGTACATCCACAACTCCAAGATCACTACTTCCGGGTAGAATAAAATGCGCTCATGCGAACCTTTTTTAAATTATTTTGAATGGTCACTTCATGGTAGTATGTTAAAAAATTCCAGGGAACAAACTTAGAAATTATAAAAGATAATTATCAGGAGTAGAGAAACTAGACCACATAATATGAAAATTCATGCATATTCAAACAAAAGGAAGCTTTTTTTTTCAGAAAAAGAAGTTTTAGATGGTAAACTCTGGGGAATGGAAACAGCAATCAGCAGAGAGTGAAATCCAACAGCCTAAAAAGTACAGCATCCTAAAAAAATCTCACAAGGACTACTTACAACTTCATTATAATAAATGCATTAGTTCAGATATGCAGTCGTGCTTGTATGTGTTGCATCATCACCAATATAAGCTTTTTTATGGATAACTTGAAATTTTTATTAAATTGTGGTATAGAATAGAGAATATGTACAAGGAATACAACCTGTCACCCCCCCCCCAAAAAAAAAAAAAAAAAATCTCTTTAATTAAGATTCAGCATTATCCTGTCCTCCACTTGTAGTCCCCCAAAATAAATGCTCCCCGCCGGCCCCTTGTCTTAGCAACACATCAGCCATGCTATTGGTTGTTCAACTAATTAAGCTTAATGTGGCTCTCAGCTCCCTTGCTAGGTAGGTTGATTCTCTTATGGTGTGTCTGTAATAACTGTTAGAGATTTTGTCTAAGATGAGTTAGCAATCTGCTGCTAACCTTTAATTATATCATCCACCAGATAAGGTTCAAAGAGACAAAGACAGCTGTTGCTTTAACCCAAAATGCTACCTACCTTAACTGCCATATTTTCAATCAAGTCTGTGGCTGTATAAGTCTCTTCCTTAAAAATGCTACCATTTCCTTCTTCCCAAATCACCCAAAGAATGGCAGCTCTAATGCATCTCCGAAAATCCTCCCGGACCTCCCCCTTATTGTAAAGACTAACCAAGTCAATGGGCAGGGACCACCTGCACCAAAAAGGTTAAAAAAAATATTCCCAAATTCTAAAGGCTAAAGGACAGGAGATTAGTAAGTGTAGAGTAGTTTCACCACTATACTTGCTATTTAGGATCAACTATATGTGTTCTGTTTCTGTTGTTCCAACCTAACCAGGAACATGTCTTCCATTGAAGCATGAGTCATGAAATCCTTGCTTAGTAGCTTTAACCCACAACCTTTTTGTCCTCATTTTTTCAAAACCTTCAACTAGAAAATAAATTATTTGTCCCTTGGAGGGAGAATCACCCTAATTAGGTCTACGTTGGCTAACCTTCCTGTATATTTTCTGCCAGTTTTTAGGATACCGGTGAAGGTGGCCAATAGGTTAGAAAATCTAATGAGGGATTTTCTGTGGGAGCCAGGGGGAGGAGAAGAGGGACCATAGGGTCAAACGGGAGGTGGTTTGTAGAGCTAAAGTGGAGGGAGGGTTGGGTATTGGTAATATTAGGACTAGGAACCTAGCACTACTAAGAAAATGGTTATGGAGATTCTCACTGGAGAAAGATAGGTTGTGGGTTAAGGTGGTGGGAAGTATACATGGACTGGCAGATAATGGTTGGGATTCAGGAATTCTAGCAAGGGCTACAAGAGCTTCCCCTTGGAGAGTCATTCAAGCCATCTTGCCTTTATTCTCTCCATGGATCAGGTATGACTTGCATTCTGGTAAACTTATCAAATTCTGGGAACAAGTTTGGGTTGGGGACTCCCCTCTGAAAGATCAATTTCCAGGCCTTTTTGCTTTGTCCTCCCTCAAGAATGAACCAATTTCTTCCTTTATTGTTCCTTCTAATTCACCCTCTGGGTTTGGTTGGAATCTAAGCTTGAGAAGAGGTGTTAGGGACACAGAGTTTGCCTGTACCATAGCCTTATTTTCTATCCTTGAAGGGGTCTTTATTGAGCCATCTAAAGCAGATAGCAGAATCTGGACACTCACTCCCTCAGGCTCCTATACTTGTGCCTCCTTTTTCAAAGCACTGTTACCCTCTCATCCCGCTGGCTTTTCTTTCCTTGTTAAAGAAGTGTGGTGTCGACCTATACCTCCTAAGGTTGGGAGTTTTTGTTGGGAAGCCTTCTTGGGAAGATTTAATATAGGGGATCTACTTCAAGGGAAAAGACCCAGCAGCTGCTTGTCTCCTCATTGGTGTGTTCTCTATAAGTCTGATGGTGAGTCCAGATATCACTTGCCAATTTCTTGTCGGTTTGTTAAAACTATTTGGGTATGGTTTACTTCTTTGTTTGGATGCAGGTGGACCCCCCCCCCCCCTTTGAATGTTCCAAGCTTGTTTTCTTACATGCCTAATTGGCCAACTAAAAGGGTTAAAATCATGTGGAGGTGTGGTAGAGCTGCAGTCTGTTGGACGGTGTGGGAGGAGAGGAACTCAAGGATCTTCTTAAGTAAAGAGAGAGGTGTGGAACAAATTATAGAGAGCATTCACATTAGAATGATGCAATGGTTGAGAACACCGAAGCTGTTCAAAGTGTTCTCAGTTGATGAGCTGTTAAGGAATTGGAAGATTGCAGATTCAGGCTTATGTAGAAAGTTATCAAAAGCTTGCTGGAGTCCTCCACCTATTGGATTCACCAAACTGAATTTTGATGGTAGCAGCATAGGCAACCCAGGGCCTTCTGGAATTGGAGGTGTGATAAGGGATGGAACAGGAAACTTGTTAGCCATGTACTCTGGACCGATTGAGGTGGGAGACTCATTGAGGGCTGAGATTCTTGGAGATATTGAAGGGATTCAAAGGGTCAAGGAAATGAAGATCAAAAAGGTGGTTATAGAAGGTGATTCTGCAATGGTGGTGAAATGGCTAACAGAGGACAGTGCTATGATGTGGAAATACAGCAATGAAAAGAGGAAATATAAATGGTTAACCAAGGACATGGAAATTCAATGTAATTGGATTAAGAGAAGTGCAAATGCATTGGCTAACGATCTAGCTAGGCAAGGGGTAAATAGAGACACATTATTCTGGGTTGTTTTGTAATCACTACAAGATCAGAAAGTTCTTGGGTAACTGGAGTTAAGACTTTTTAGCTCCATCCCATTGTAATCTTGTTTTTACCATTAATAAAATTTCACTGTTACTGATCAAAAAAAATCAAAGAAAAACTTGCAAAGTCAAAGTTTTGGAAGTTTACTGGATGTCCTCATGACACATCATCTAAGAGCACAAAGTACCAACTGCAAACAGATTTTGCCAACTTTATCCCAAGTTCCAAGTGTTAGTATGCAGTCCAAGAGTCAGCACAGATAGACCCTACAGTTTCCAGGTATCCTAGTTATACTGCTAACTTTTCCCCTTCCCTTTCTTAAATAAAGCCAACTAGATCAACTTTTTATTCTTTCTAATTTCTACTTCTCTTTTGATAAAACAGGCTATCTGATGGCATCATAACTCTATATATAGTCATATACCTTAAACAATTACAGACTAATAGGTAAGAGCAAAGAGCGTGATAGTATTTGTATTCCCTTTCTTTTAGCTTTGTTCCTTTTTCCTTTGGTTAGTCATCTATCTCTCTACCTCCCTCCATTTCCCATGTTTATTTCTTTTTATTATTTTCAACATTTTCTAATTTGCATAGTACCCTCTATCCCCCTCTTCATCATAGTTTCCTTACTATTTTTATTTATATTATCTTCTTTTTCCATGTTTTTCTTCAATCCTTATGCTCATTTTGTTATACTTTTCAACTGAAAATTGGAAAAAGTGTATCATTAGTAATTATACTTCTTAAGGTGTATGGCTATTTCCCATCCTTTTTCGGTATTTATATTCTGTTTACAGTAAATCCTTAAATCATTTATGTATTTCTGATAGCTTTTTATGTCAGTTTCTCCATGCTGTGATTTCCAGACATCAATATATATACCGGACACCTAGACACTTTGGCACCAGTGCCATAATAAAGCAATGATGATTGTGCAAATAACAAACTGCCTCAAACAACTCACCCCTATTTAATTACATGATGATGCTACTCTGAACCCGGGCCTGAAGTTATCTCTCATTCATAATCTAATTCTCCCTATATTGCAACTTATTAATTTAAAATTCTCATCTCAATGGGGTAACCAATCACCATGAATTGTCAATGAGATAGAGAAAGAAAATATCACAAGAAATTTCACTTCATTTTCGAACCAATAGGGACCTTCATACCTAATGTGCTGGCTGTTTGATGATGGCTGAAGTTGCCGAACTGAACGACTCATTTAGTGGATAAAATCATTAAATAATAAATTATTCGAGGGTATACCAACTTCAGCTTCAGCCATTAAGGAGCTCACAACCCCAAAACTTATCCACTCAAAGAGAAAGCAATAAGCTTTTCAGTTTAGCCACTTCAGCTGTTATCATACGGCCGTTTAACGGTGTGAAATTATAGTCGTAACTGGTATCTATCCATCCAATACTTGACCCAAAAAAGGGAAAACTAACTTCTAGCATTCAATTACTAGAAAATTCTCCGAAATATTCAACAAAATAGAAGTACAGTTAAAGACCTTACGACTCAATCAAATGTGTCAAAGTCGGAGTAAGTTGATTCTATGCCCTTTATGCCCAAGCAAACATATAAATTGGATACTCTAAAATATCAAAACCAAAACTTTTTTCAATTCAACTAGTCTCTAGGATGTATATGCAAAAGAATCTGCAGGTTTACAAAGTGAGGAGTTTGTTCAAAGAGGAAAAAATAAATTTCAAATTGGAGAATGCAGTACCTGTTTATGAATCAGATCAGATTCCAATGAGTAGATGATAAGATACCCATTAGAAGTTCCGACGGCAAGAGCATGGAGGTCATCAAAGACGAGCCACTCGATAGCGGTGATATCTCCCTCGACTGGCGTCAAAGAAGGTCGGATCTTAACTGGACGACTCGATGGGTCGTCGTAGTTCCAACCGAGAATGAGAATAACAGAATGATTGGCAAGAGCGAGGGAGTGGGCGTCAAGGGCAGAAAGAATGTTTGGGTTGTCAACAAGCCATCCTTCCCTGCCGGCGCCCAATTCGGCCAACTCGTCGCAGGCGATGCACCCAAACTCCGTTACATGCGACCGCCTCGCCATTGATTTCAGAATTAAATTGGGAAGTTGAAAGGATCAGACTGAGAGATTCTTCAAGGTCGACGAATGTGTGAAGATAAATAAAATAAAAATGGCAGATGCTTAATGCTTACTACTACTACTACTTTTTGGGGAGTACAAATGTAAATTTGTAGAGTGACAGTGGCAATACAGATGATTCATTGACTCACGATTTGACTTTCTACAGTTCAATCTGTCCGATTGGAACCTCTGAGGGAATTGATAGAATACACTAATATTTTTGTAGACACCTACGTGGCTACGTTGCCTCTTGCCTGCTCCTCGTCCTAGGAAAGAATCGATAGAATACATTAATATTTATGGGAGTTTCCAAGATCATGGTGTGTCTGCAATCTGAATAAGGGGGCCCACATAAGGAGTCGGATTTGACTTTTGTTGCCCATAATATATATATGGTCCCACTCCCACCAAAGGAAGTAGGATATTTTGCCGTGTAACATGTAGCATCGCATCACAAGGACTAGGGAGGGGAGGGAGTAAGGATTGCCAATTTCCAATCAGAGAAGCAGCCCATAGCCCATTCAGTTCGGAGTGGAGCAACGGCATAAGCCCAGTTCATTACCCATGTAGGCCTGGGCTGGGCATGGCCAAGCTAAGCATGCACACCCACATAAAATAAAAATAAGCCATGGACATTGCCTATTTGCCTGCCTCAGTGCATCTTTCCAGTTCTCTCTGCCTTCTAATTTTTGACACCCGATCTGATTTTTGGAATTCGGATGATTCATCTACATAATCACATCGATTTCCAACATTCCATAACCATTAATAGTCAAATTGATGTAGACTTAGGCTTTTTATTTTTTAAGGAGATATTATCACCTGCTGTTCATTGGGGCATTTTGACAAGTCCTTAAAATAAGGAATGCCAAATGCATTCTTAATCGCATCCGATCCAAATCCAATTATTATATACTAGTAAGGGGCCTACTTCGCAAGGGCCAAATACAATAAAGTAGCAGAATCTCCCTTTTTTAATTAAAATCTTTTTTGAAAAAAAAAACTATTTACTTAAAATAAACAAAAAATATGTAATATATAATTTACTTAAAATAAACAAAAAAAATTATTTGTGTAAATATAAACATATTTTTAAATTTAAATCTGAATTTGGCATGAAGTTGGATGACCCGAAACATTAAATTCAAAAGAGAGAGGAGAGAGAGAGAGGAAGGGAGGGAGAGAAGTTATATAATATTTTTATTTTTATAAATATAAATTTGAAAATATTTTCTGTTTACATCCAAATTGATATCAAAACTCAGTAGGATGACCTGAAATATTGGACTTGGAGAGAGAGAGAGAGAAGTTAAATATAACATTTTATATTTATAAATATGAATTTGAAAATGTTATATGTTTAAATATGAATATGTAATATTCTAAATTTCAAAATATTTTCTATTTAAATCCAAAACTATTTTCTACTTAAATCTGAATACAACTTGTAAATTTGAAAATATTGATATCAATTCAAACTTGAATGATGTCAAAACCAAGTGGGATGACCCGATATATCGAACTTAGAGATATGATATTTTATATTTATAAACATTTGTTTGTATAAGTTTAAAAATGTTTTTCAATTTAAATTCAAATTCGAGATGAAGTTGGATGACCCAAAACATTGGACACAAAGAGAGAGTAAAGAGAGATTGTATAATGTTTTTATATTTAGGGTAAAATACAAAAATCTTCCCTTAAGTTTCTGATAATCATAAAAACCTCCCCTATAGTTTTATTTTAGCAAAAACCTCCCCTCTATTTTTGAAAAATTCAACAAATACCTCACTTCTGTCAATAACCAAGTCGGAAAATGTTAAAGAGATTATTTTTTTTTCAAATTTTTACGAATTAATGTGCATCTGTTTTTATTAAAATAGCCTTGTCTCAGTCAATTTCTTCTTCTTGCTCGATGACGATAACTATGTTCACATGGAGCTTTCCTCGCTATCAAAGAAAGTGAGATGTATTTCACGTCTTTCTAACTGTTGCAGACAAGAAAAGCTTCAGGATTGCTTGTGCATAGACAGCTCATCGCAAGGAGGAGCTCGAGTTTTGATCCAGCTTCGAGGGCGAACCAGAAGTGATGGAGGGTGATTTGACCCGACCTTCTAAGAAGGCGACACGTGGTGTGACTCAACATAAGCAACAGCTCAGCATGACAATCTGGCTATGACTGAGTAACGAGCTTGTTAAGGTCCTCGCGGGACAGCTCGCTACATTACAACTCACCACGGAATGAGCCCGTTACAGCGCAAGCTCAAGGACCCCGGTATGTGGAAAGGGAATACTCCAAGTCAAGTCTATCCCAGCTCGCAAGCTGAGAGAATCAGCTCGCTCCAACACTTAGGCAAGAAGACTGCCCCAAAGGCAACCTCAGGCGGAATCACCTCGGGACACATCCAGGAGCTCGCTGCAAGGCAGCTCGTTATGGGATAGCTCGCTACAGGGCAGCTCACTATGGGATAGCTCGCTACAGGGTAGCTCGCTATGGGATAGCTTGCTACAAAGCAGCTCGTTGTTAAGCGACACGACGTTCTCAAGAAACTTCTTATCTGACGAGATTGTACTCGTCAGACTGTATCACGTCTTCTGACTAACGGCGCAGTTCCTGCCAGCCCAGCAGACTGCATCCATGTCTCTCGACAAGTGGTGGCGTGTTTGTCCTTTCCAGGTCGTGTCTCTCATCCGATTGGGCAGTACTCTGCAACAATTACCTGCGCAGCCCTAGCAAATAACGGCTGCGATAGAGGGCCAGTGGCAGTTACGCCCGTTGACAAGAACATCTGCATTTAAAAGCCCCATGGTCGAAGGGGCAAAGCTACCTTGAGCTAATCTTGAATTTTACTGATCTAGCGCTATTTGCACTCTTAGCTCTCTTTGCATCCCTTACAGCTCTCTCAAGTATTCTAACTTAAGCATCGAAGTATTCCCACCGGGCAGGCTCCCCAGGAATCCTTCACCTTCCTCTTCTCAGATACCGTCCGTCGCCAGGTAGAAGCCAAGCGTCCGCTAGCTAGGAGTGCCCGGATCGCGCTGCATCAAGAAGGGCGATACAAACTCAATGAACATTAGCTTGGTGGCATAATCCAGCTACTTTGAGTCCCCTGGAATTGCTTGTACCAACCAGAATGGTCTTGCCCCTATTTCCTCAACCGGAATGGTCAATTCGGCTAAACCCACGTCCATCTGGAAACCGAACCGCCACCCTGCAAAGAAGGCTCTTTACACACTTGGGTTCTCCGGGGAGTGGTGGATAGATAGTTTTCTCAATCAACGAGGTTTCAGTCTCCGTAGAAGCCAACATCATCTCCTCATGTTCTACAACTTCGGTTTCCTGGCTATAAACCAGAGATTGATGACTCTCGTTATGTTTATAAACAAGAGAACGAAATAGTGATTGATGACTCCATCTGGTACATCAACTCAACCAGAGATTGATGACTCCTCTCGTTACGTTTATAAACAAGAGAACGAAACAGGGATTGAGGACTCCATCTGGTACATCAACTCAACAAGAGGACAAAACAATGGAGCAAGATCAAATGAATGGCTTCTCCCTGATTCCCATGCTTTCAATGGTTCCTCTGATGAAGATTTCTGGGCATGGGATGATCAAATTCATTGCACAGTTTCTCTCTCTTCACTGGTAGAGGGGGGCGAACGTCATCTTGAAATCTAGTGTAGAATAACTAGATAGCTTCACTAGTACATTAACTCAACAGGAGGACGAAACAGTGAAGCAAAATCAAATGAATGGCTTCTCCCCAATTTCCATACTTTCGAATGGTTCCTCTGATGAAGATTTCTGGGCATGGGATGATCAGATTCATCGCACAGTTTCTCTCTTCACTGGCAGAGGGGGACAAACGTCATCTTGAAATCTAGCGTAGAATAACTGGATAGCTTCACTGGTACATCAACTCAACAGGACGAAACAGTGAAGCAAGATCAGATGAATGGCTTCTCCCTGATTCCCATACTTTTGAATGGTTCCTCTGATGAAGATTTCTGGGCATGGGATGATCAGATTCATCGCACAGTTTCTCTCTCTTCTTTGTATTGCTGTTTGGGCTGATTGGCCCACAGAAATTCCCAGGAATGACGAGACCAGTGTGTCTTTCTCGCCTGAAACAACAGTGTTCTCCATGTATGTGAACTAAAGAATTTGAAAGACGCCGAGGCCAGAGCCCCAGCTACCCCCAAAAGAAGGGTAAAAGGACTGAGAAAGAAGACAGGGCTATTTTAGTAAAAACGGGGAAGGTTGGAAGGGGGAGTACAACATCATTCTGCCATTGTGCATCATGAGGAACAGTATTGGAGTAGACTATGGAGTTGCTAAGATAGGACTATTTTAGTAAAAATAGATGTACATTAATTCGTAAAAGGGTAAAATAGGTATTTTGAAAAAATATCAACTCTTTAACGTTTTCTTTCTTGCCATTGATGTAAGGAGGGTATTTGTTGAATTTTTAAAAAATAGAGGAAAGGTTTTTACTAAAGTGAAACTATAGGAGATGTTTTATGATTTTCGTATTTTACCCTTATATTTATAAATATAAAGAAAATATTTTTTTTGTTTAAATCTGAGTTGACATTACAACTAAGTTAATGTCATGTGATTTATATTTATACATTTTCTATATAAATTTAAAAGTATTTTTCAATTTAAATTTGAATATGATATAAAGCTAGATGGCCCGGAATTCTGAAACATCTAACTCAAAGAGAGAGAGAGAATCGGGACAGTGCTGGGTATATAAAACACTTGATTTATTAATTTATTATCATTTTTGTCGAGATTATATTATCAAAAACCAATTTTTAGGAAATAATTATAGCTATCAATGTAATCGAGTCTAAGATCATACCTGATTATTAGTTGGGATGGTATTGAGTCAATGATTTTGAACAAAAAGATTAGTTTAATAGTTTCTTACCAACAATTAAATAATTGATTAGTAAATTATGTTTTAGAAACAAAAATAATAATAATAATTTATTTATTAGCATTAATTCTTGGTAGTAATAATAATTTGTTAGTTGTAATATTTCTAAATAAATTATTG